ACCCACCGCCACACCACCGCCAGTGTCTCGACGTCGATCATGAACCCCGAAAAAATGAACGACAAGGACGCGAGGCCGCCGCCCAAGAGCTCGGCCATCTGGGGCGTCGGCAGCCAAAACACGAGCAGCTGGCCAATGTACGACCACAGCAGCACACTGCTGGTCATGAACGCCCAGAACCACAACCACGCCCTGGTGTAGTGACCGTCGAGGCCACACAGCCAGTAAAATGAGTGGACGAAGACAGACGACAGCACGACGCTGTAGCCGAGTTCGACCACCGCCAGCGACAAGGAGTGGGCTGCGGGGGCGTACATGTTAGACTGACTTTCGCGGTAAAACACATTGCGGCCTTGCGACACGAACGGAAGGGACGTAGTCATCATAGAAATGCACAAAAACGATGTGGCCACAAAGATGAACGTGAGCTGACTCAGCACGTCCATGCTGGTGGTTAGCTCCATCCCGTGAAAGACCGAGCCAAAGATCAGCGGCACCACGACCATCAGCACCAACCGAGACGTGTTGTACGACGGACTTCGCCAATACGTGGCGCTTTGACGTTGCAGCAACGTAACGAATTGCGTCCCAAACGAATGCGCATTCTTTCTCAAAGGTACAAGCTCTTGGCCTTGCTCCACCAATTGCTGGTTGCGAACGGCAAGGTCGCTCTGACTATACATAGCGGCAAAGTCGACGTCGATCTTTGCCTTGCCAGTTCCGGCCCCGATGCAGTTGAGCATGTACGTGGCGGGGTTCTCCTGCGGTTCCATTGGAGGCAGCCCTTGAAACTGACTAAAGTACTCCAACAACACGGAGGATTGAGGCCCGAGGTCCCCAAAGTAGACGAGCTCGCCACCCGTCTTAAGCAGGAGCAGCTTGTCGAACAACTCGAACAACACTGTCGACGGCTGGTGGATCGTACACACGACCGTCCGTCCCGATTCCGCAATGCGCTTGATGCACTCCATGACGATGGTCGCAGCGCGGGAGTCGAGCCCTGTCGTGGGTTCGTCCAGAAACAAAATGCTCGGGTTCGACAGCAGCTCCACGCCAATGGTCACGCGCTTGCGTTCGCCCTGGCTAAGTGTCAAGTACTGGGCGTTGGCCCTCGGAGTCAGCTCCAGCACGTCCAGAATGTCGTCCACAAATGACTGGCGCTGGTCTTGAGTCGTGTCGCTGGGCAGGCGAAGGACGGCGCTAAAGTGGAATGCTTCTCGGATGGTCGCAGTTTCTTCATGGACATCGTTCTGCTCGCAGTAGCCCGATACCTGCGTGAAGGTGCGTCGATCCAACGGGTGTCCATTGACAAAGAGGTCGCCTTCGATAGTTCCAGTAGTCTTGCGACCGGCAATCACGTCCATGAGTGTGGTCTTCCCCGCCCCAGTGGACCCCATCAACGCTGTGAGCGATCCAGGCTGGAAGGAGCCGTGGGTGTCCTTGAGCAATTGTCTAGAGGTTTTATTCTTGCCTTTGCCAATGTCAATCGTATAGCTCAAGCTTTGGAACGTCAGGGCCACCGGTTGAAACGGCAAGTTGTTGAGATCGTGGCTTGCTATTTTGATGGTCGCTGAGCCCGTTTGGGATGGTGGGGCGAGAGGAGGGGACGACTTCAGGTCGCTCCTTGGCATACTCGGTCGAAATCGCACAAACTGGATCGCAAGGGTTGTTCCAGTCACCAACACCAGTATGGCGCCGACGAGGAACACAATTGCTCCTGGAATGTACGCAGCATTAGTGGTAAACCCGTATGCCTCCAAGGCCGAGCTGCCCACCCGAGCCCATACATCTTGTCCGATGGATACCATGGTCTCGTACAGCGGGGTAGAGGACAGAAACTCGTTGAGAACCAGCGCTCGCAACGCCCACGCCAGGGGGTTGGTCCAATACAGCCACATCCACAGGAGGGGGATCTGGGGGGCCGGCGTCACGTAGCCAGAAAATACAATATGCAGAAAGATACCAAAGATGGCCACAACCTTGGCGAGGACTGCATCAGGGGAAACCATTGTCACGAACTTGAACACCAGCGCATACGTGGCAGCACACAAATACACGACCAGAACAAACGTAAAGTAGGCCCCCACGGAGGGGTACAGCCCCACGCAAAAGTACACGGGAGTTCCAAACAGCACCAGTTGGGGCACACTCCACAACAGCTCGACCACAGCGTCCGAGACCACGTACGCGGACGGGTGAAAAAAGTGGTAGGCCGACTGTTTGTACAGCACGTGCCGAAGTTTCATGCTCGTGTCAATGGTTGAAATCGTCGTCAGCGCTTGGTACGTCAGCGCCAAGAAGAACATGCTCACTTTGATGGGCACGAGGTGCGCTTCCTTGGCGACGTCCGTGTTGCGTCCGATGCCGAAGAACGTCGTGCCGACGATCACACCGAGCACCAACGCTTGCACTAGCCGGGCGATGTTGAACCCTATGTCGCGCAAAGAGGCGGTCCATGTGCGAAGGAAGACCACGCGGAGGCAGTCCATGTAGTGTAGCCGGACCTTGGATTCTGTCGACGAGGGCAACATGCTGGGCGACAATGTTTCCGGCTTGTCCAAGTCAGATAGCAGTGTGTGAAAGATCGAGCTCTTCTCGAACGCAGCGGCAAACTCTGACGCGGTGGTGGGGCGGTTGCCGACCGACGTCGAGTGGTCGTCCTTTGAGGTGGTGGCGTACCGAGGCCCCAAGTGGGTCGTGACTTCCTGGAGAAAGTCGGCCACGTCTTTACGAGGCGGGCACTCGTACCCGATGGACCGAAAGTACGACGGGAGGGTCGTGCGGGGTCCGTTGTACACGACCTCGCCCTTGTCCAAAACGAGGATGTTGTCAAAGAGGTCGTACACTTCGGGAGGGGGCTGCAGCATCGTCATGACCACCGTCTTCTCGAGCACTTCGGCCATCGTCCGCACGGCCTTGGCGATGTCGTACGTCGTGGACGCGTCCAGGCCATTGGAGAACTCGTCCAGGAGCAGCGTCGTGGCTCGACCAGTCATCATCTCCCCCACGGTCACGCGGCGCTTCTGGCCTCCACTCACCCCTCGGATCATGTCGTCCCCGATGATCGTGTCGGCGCACTCGGACAGCCCAAACACCGAGATGAGGATGTCCACCATGTGCTGCTCGTTCACCGCGAGCGGGTCGTTCGGGTCCACTGTCCCCACGAGGCACTTGTGGGAGAACTCGAACGTTTCCTTGACCGTGAGCGTGGGGTAGTGGTTGTCGCTTTGCTGGACGTACGCAGCTAGAGAGCTCAGGTCGATCTGGCTGGGCTTGCATCCGTTGTACGTGACGGATCCGCTGACTTGTTCGTTACCCTTGACGTGCAAAATACCAGCCAAGTGCTTGAGCAGGGTGGTCTTGCCGCACCCTGGCGGACCTAGGACCAGGGTCATGGTGCCTGGCTTGAAGATCGCGTTCACGTTCTTGAGGATGTACTTGACGTTTTGCTTTTTGGAATTAAACCAAGGGAGCTGGAAGGCTGAGGTCAGTGTTTCAATGTGTGAATGTGAGTGGAGAACTGGCACAACGTAGTCGACATGTTTCATTCGGATCTCACACTTGATCGATGACTTGGATGTGTGACGTGGTTGCGGTAGCTGCTGGAATCCAAATGTACGGTCGCTACTGCGTGGTGTGGTGACCTCGTCGTAGGTACTGTCGTGCCGCGGTGTGAAGCACGGCCCTGTGGTCATGTTTGATGGAGATATGAATTGGATATGAACCACTTGGGGCTCAAAAT